CACTGCGTGATAATGCTCCATTTAATTCGAGTCTTGGGGAAAAATAGTCGCTTTACAAATAGCTGTGAGGAGACTAAGTAGCAGGGACATTAGGCGCTCCGTCTACGACGTCTGACGGCGGGACAGTCGGTGAATGAACTAATGAAAGCCAGTGAAATCTCGTGTTGCGTAGGGGTATCTGTGCAGTAGTCATCGAAGGAAAGAATTCTCCCACAAAGCACCACGGAGACTGCTTCTTGTACCACACTTACGAGCTAAATAAGAGCAGTGCATTCTTGCGTCGTTCGTCACGATCTTTCTTAGAGTTCAAGTTTTGTGGAATTCCATATGATTGCTCCACAGAGGGTAAAAAGCAAGAAGAGCGGCAAATAGCAATTGAATGAGGAAGCTGCACTGTGAGAAAGGACGGCGTCACAAGATGTCGGTGATGCTAGGCATTGTCACACCTTCATTACGCTTACCTAAACGGGACTCTATGACCTCGCCTGCTCATCTTGCTTCTTCAACGTCCACTTCAAGAGAGGATCAGCATCACTGTTTCTGACCGGTTTATGTAGCAGATAGGACAGAATAGGATGGGTTTTATTGCGTTTACAGATAGGGATCAGCAATGAAAAATTTTACAAATCAGTTGTTAGCATGGGAGTCCCTTATAGCGCAGTTCGTGCAAGGATCCGCCACATTTTCACATACACAAAGTGATGCCCTGATATAACCGCATTGATATCTTTCTGCACTTAATCTGACCATCTCTTCTCCGTGGAATGATTCGATGCAGTTGTTTACTGAAAGCTAATTTTATTTATCGCCCATTATAATTCAGTCATTCTCGATCGGAGCACTTTAAAAAACCCTTTGACTGCTTTTCTTGATGGGCGAAAACGAGGTTATAATGAAAAATTCGTTTTCTACATTTTACCTGCTGACGTTATGAGAGTGTTTGGCTGAGTAGATTTCATGTCAATTGGACCTTTTCAGGACCTGAAAGAATGCAAAATCGCCGAAACGTCAGCTCAACTGGAAAAACAGATGCTGTAATAAGGTGTTTGCTTATCAAGAAAAACAGTGGATTATTGATCAATTCTGAGGTTAAGAGAAAGTTGGTTTGGTGCATGAAAATACTTCCGGCTTGTGCAAGTAGGCTTGTCATTAAGAAAGAAGACTGTTTATGTTAGAAAAACGAAATTCTTCCTCCATCGTTTCTGAAACACCGAATGGTGTCAAATTTCATCGAATGAAAACGAATACATGATGTATGCGGTCTACCAGAGGAAACACACCGAGTACTGGACATAGAAATACGACTACAACGCGCCTCCCTTAGACGCGAGCGTGCGCGCTCAAATGAAGAAGTGCGACTCAAAGGAATAATATTTTGTGCTCAGTATTTGGAGGATAGCCTTTAGATCAGAATAATAAGTGGGTTAATATTGATTTGCAATTCCATTATGTCTAATGCAAAAGTAAAATTAAGCAGCGAGTTCGAAAAGGTTATAAAACGATTGCATAAATCACGTTTAATAAAATAAAAGAAGAAGAATCGTTTACGAATATAGCAAGAGGCAAACAAGTGTCGATAACGCTTTAGAGAAGTCAAGGGGCACTGTGCTCCCTCACGGCGCGCTTTCTGCTAGACTTGAACCGAAGTTTCTCACAAGCGTAACCCATTTCTAAAGAAACTTTGCGCATAACCGCATGCAATCTGCCCGAGTTACAACATCAATCTTGTTGTATAGATTAGGTTTACGTACAAATGAAAAACATAAAGTGTACTTTGCGCCATATCCTTTTCATCTTTTTCCTCGAGCCTTGTGCAAAAGGTAAAACCACAACGGCAAAGTAGACATCAGTTTTCGCATGTCTCCTTCAAAATCCCTACCCACTGCTGCTAGATAAAGTTTAGTTGAAATCAAACAGCAGCCCAAAAATGTAGAATAAGACATGTTCAAGAATTAATAGTATGAAAACTATCAAACTAACAGTTAGTTTAAAGGGTAGAAAGTTTGCAGTGATTTTCCGTCAGATAGATCTTGAGATAACGGAAAAAACATCTTCAGGATACCTCTCCGTGCTGTCCTTCCACTGGAAAAAAATTAACAAGTCAGCACCGTAAATTTAACAACGAATGAGCCAACGTCTGAAGTACAGTAGGTTTAAAATCATTAGTTATTTCGCAACCAATGTTCAATCGTCGAGATATCCTTTGTTATACTAAACTCATAGTCTGAATTATTATCCACTAAAGATCTGGCGTCTACTTACCACGCATTGTTGAAAGGTAGCCTCATTATCAATTATGTAGACGGGATCACGAATAGAACAGCATTGTTCGTAACCTAATTCTCATCCACATGCATCCACATGCAGAAACACATCCCATTCCATCTTACGAATGTTCCAATATGCAGTATGCATTCGTCTACATCAAACATCGCTATAGGTGATTGAATGCATGTCTGGAGATACAATGACTAGCGGTGACCTATTGGTGTGTCGAGTCATTGCTATTATCTTCTCAAAAAGGTGTAGTACTAATTTGCCCACCCCGGAGAGAAAGAAGGCTTAGTGAGCCTTGATGGCGGGATCGAGCGAGGGTATATTGGCACCTCTGATCACTGCCCGGCACGCGTACTCCGGTAGAGAAAAAAATTTAAGTAAATAGCAAAGAAAAAATACGGAGGGGAAAGCCCATACGAATATGCATCTTCGAATGGTATCTACAGTTTCCATTTTGCCATTTAAGATCCTCTACGGAATGTAATTTTAACTACTACGTGGTCACGCATCTACGGAAGTATAGCAAGACATACTATGTCTGTGGTCAAATGTTCAATCAAAGCGAGTGTTAATAATGGACGTGGGAATTTCGAGTATCCACGCCACTTTGCCCTCTCATAATCTTGTTCGTTGGTTTCATCATTGGACCCCAACCAGCTCCAAAGCGGTACCCGTCTACTTTACTCAGTGACTCAATAATACAGTGAAACAAACCTCTGATTACATCTTCTTATCATTCAGCAGTTATTTGCTCAGCAGAAATTTTTATTCTCGTGGGTTTTTCACTCATAGTTTGCAAAGCAACCAGCTGATATCTCATCTCTATTATATCGAGTGCAGATTGATGCATTCGTGCATAAATTTTATTCCTGTAACTATGGTTCTGCTTAGTTTGCTATGTCTGAGGCTTCAGAACGTCAAATAACGTTTGATCGCTGTGGTTAATGACCAGTTACTGAGTTTCAATCTTGAAAATTGAAAGATTTTAGATGAATGATGCCAGAACGACCCAACCCAGTCGTCGAACACTCCATCACGCTTGTCCTTCAAAAAAGCGAAGTTCCAAAAGAGTGCAAAAACCAAAGGTGACTTATGTTTCTGTAAAATTAGCGAATAATGACTTGCAGTGGGTAATTATTTGTTTCCAAAATGGTCGAAATCTTTATCGACATGTGCTGCCACCACGAATGACTCCAGTGAAGCTGTGAGAACTGATAGCAATGAGGTCTGTTATGTTAAGTGTCATCATTCTTACTAAAATACAACATTGCATTTGTGCTTGTTAGGTTGGTTTTCAAGAAAATGGTTTCGTTTGGTTATAGACCTAAAAATCAAAGCGAATTGTAGAGCCACGTATCATCATTGTCGTTATCAGTAAGCTTTAACATTGCCAGCGAGTCACCATTATGGTGGTATCCGTGTGGAATCTGCAAGAATCCCAAGTAAATCGTTAATATGTTAGGGAAATTCTGGTTCTCAAATAAGACGGAAACGTTTTAAACAAAGCAAAGAGAGTGTTAAAAAAGTAAACATAGTAATATGATGGATTTTGTTCATGATTGATTAATCATTGTTCACCAGGATCTAACACATTTTCAGAAAATTCGAAACAGATCGGTTTCACCATTTTAGTCCGACTGGTCTAGATCTGGTTCGCTGATGAGCTGCAAAAAGAGTACGAACTGCCAAGTTACTTCTTTGCTACCAACCTATTTCTTAGCAAGTTAGCTTCTTTTGCTAAATTTCATCTCGACCATTACTATTAAAGGTCTAACTGGTAAAGTACCAGTCAATAAGGTTATGCGTGCGGGATACGATGAAACCTCGTGTCCGGTAAAATCTCAGTTAAACATTTCTGTGTGTTAGACGAATTTGCAACGACTTCTCAGAAGCACTGTGATGATGAGGCAATATTTAGCGCCGCTTTGGGCCAAATGACACAGAACCCGGGATTTCAGTCCGCTAGTGAGTTTGCACATTTTTACAAAGCAGATGCAGTTATATACTTAGTCTCATGGACATGAAGTGGAATAGACTATTTTGCGAGCTAAAATAATGTTTCTGTGACTCCAGAAATTTTCTAACTAATTTTGGAAAAAAATTTTGCCATCTCTTTTACTTATTTAAATTCCACACGTTTGGTTCATTAGACATTACTGAATAGTGTGGTGCTCTGCAAAACGTACTATAACTGTAGAGCTATATTTGCTTCTTTTTATTCACTGCCTACTGAAATCTTCAGCGCAGAGTATTTTGCGAAATCAACTGCAACGATGCTGCGATATTCGCAAAGCATGGACCCCGGGCCAGATCGAACCACGATTTCCCTTTCTAGGGCTCGCGCGTTACACACTGCTCCACGGAGGCATTTGCTCTGTGTTTCTCTCAGCTGCAAAGCTATACTTGTAACTGCATACATATTTATATTGACGTTATAATGACGTTAACATTTCTGATCATAGAAGAATCTTTTTTACCTTCTGTGCTAATTTTGCTTAACATTGGTATATGTGTCTATATGATATTTCGAACAATTACACCCTTAGCAGCATTCACATGACAAACACTAGTTGTTATATGCAACTCATCGTTCTAAATCAGGGTCCAATTCGATGATGCTTCGTTCAGATTTGTTTAAAGTGGCAATGGAGCGTACTAATCAGCTTCACCACACTGCGACAGGATTACACATCTTGCGTTGAGTAAGTCTGGCTTCCTTTGATTCAACCAAACAGTGACTCCACAGCATTACTAGAAAGTTCCGTCGATTTGATGGTGTGGCTTTTTTCTCGTTTGGGTTGACTGTTGGCTACGAGTAGCGTTTCATGGTCAGTTTCATAGCCTATCCAGAAAACATTCATTTCCCAATTTTTGAGATTATACGGTGCATTAGTTAGTGCTGCTCCATTACGCACAAGCTCGTAGATCAGTTCCTGTGAGATGGTCTTGTAGAACACATCATGAAGATCCATCGTAATAGCCAAAGAGGAGAGAAAATACTGAGTTGGAATCACTAGACACCACCGAGAACGCACTTATTTCTGCGACTCTAAAGCGAGTAGGATGCACAAGATATCGCCGAGAGATAAATCTGCGTTGTGCATGTTATTGTTCCGTCCTCAGTCTTTGTTAATTCACCCTTCTGAGGAAAAATATCCGATTTGGATCCATTGTGTTGCTTCGGAAAGCCACGTTTCCGAGGTCAATTGTTTTCTAGACCATGTATCCATGGATTTGGAACACTACTAAGATGACGTAGAACTTGAAATTCTCAATCCTACCATTATTATGGCTGCAATATGCCTATACACAAGTAACACCACTTTTATAGACATGCAGTTACAGACAGATGCGTGTTCGCTTTCTTGAACCATAAATGTTGCATCTAAGGGTTGTAGTGTTTCGTAAATTTTGTCATTTTTTATTTGTTTATGCGAACCTGCTTCATGTATTGTCTGGATCCTAGCACTTTTTCATTTGATTCGTTGTCTCGCGTCCGCCATCCACTTTAATATCGGGCTCGTATTTCTTCATCGGCGAAATTTTAGGTGGTGGGTTCCATTACGGTGACAGTCGTTGTTGTTGGAGGTGCATCTTTGTCCAGACCAGACCTTCTGCTGCAGTGGGCGAACTTATCGCCTATATTCGCTTTGGATCATCCGTTTCGAAATCAATGCACAGAATGACGCCACCCTCTCCACCATAACATGCGCATCACTCATTCCCTACAAACAATATGATATATATTAGTACTTCATCAACGCATTAGCTATTGGTACTATGGAGTTTAGCTCAAGCTGCTCTCCACAAGGATTCCGTTTAAGGTGGAACTCGTCATGCAATCCCCATTCCTTCACGAAGAACGGCTTCTCTTACCTCACTAACTTGTCGACTACCAAGCAACTATTTGCCACCAAGACGAAAGCGAATGTTGAGTGCCGTCAAGCATCGTTTATTTAATAAAAATTTTTCAGCGCGAGTTTATCATTATACAAAAGCTCGAGCCAGTTAGCTGGTCGGCCAAGTAATTAAAAAGGGCGGAAATTGTACTGCATACCGCAAAAAAAACTGGCTTCCATTTCTGAACGTGCAAACTAGCCCATCAGAAAGCGGCTACATTACGAAATGGCATCGAAAGCCAAGTAGTAAAAACATCTCGGTTCATTACCTCTCCTCTCATCCCTCTCACACGATAAGGGCGCTTGTGAGAAACGTGTATCGAACAGCTATCAGCGTGTGTACAGGAAGACAGCAGAGCGACGAGTCCCTGAACTTGGCGCGGCAAATAGCCATTGCTAATGGCTACGAAACTGTAGCCCGGGATAGGTGTAGGAAAAATCCTAGGCCCCCAAACGACAACTCTAGAGATAAAAAGGTCCCGTTTATCCCACCCTTCATCTCAAATGATGTAAGTGCATCTATAAAACGCTACTTAAGAAGGGCTGGTCTAGAGGATTCGGTAAACGTAGTTGAAATGCCCTCGAGTACCCTTAAGCGCCAGCTAGTTCGTAACCGCCTATATAACCGTCTATGCGCAACGCAAAATTGCATAATTTGCCCCAATGGTAAAGACGGTGTTTGCATGAGCTCGGGTATAGTTTATCTGATCTCCTGTAAGACGTGCGGAGACGAATATATTGGCGAAAAGGGCAGTCCCCTCTGTGTCTGCATAAAAAAAACACCTAGCCGGCAAACATAAACCAAATACCCCACTAGGCACGCACAGGACCCAGAGGCATAACGGGGAGGACTTTGAAGTTCGTGTCACGATCCTTGCAGAGGAATCAAGAACGCAGGCGCGCAAAACTCTCGAGGCGTTCTGGATTAATTCCAGAAATCCGAAAATGAACTCCTAAGTTCTGGATCCTGGGTTCTATCCATATAATTTGGCAAACTGCCTAAGCTACTAAAGAAATCTATTACATAAACGCCACATTCTTGGAAAATTACTTGCGGTTTCGTTAGGTGTGGGACCACATGTATGTTGTTTACATGGAATGACGAGTAGACTCACCCATACCAAAAAATCAGCGCCACGTGTGATAGTTGGGCATTCGCAAATTCGGTTGGCTTCTGAACTTTTGAAATTTGTCTAAACGCTTCTAGGGCTTTGCGCGTTAGTGTTTTCGAATCCTGCGATAGGAGCCGACCAATCACTTCAAAATCGTCAACATTGTACCTCTGCGCCCTATCTGTATCTACGGGAGCACTTTGGCGAAATCTAAATTTTCCATCCGGATGTTCTTCTATGCAGACACGAAGAGGTCTACCGGCTTCCTCAATATATTCCTCACCGGTTGCGCTCCATGGGATCAAGTATATTATGCCTGAACTCATTCAATCCCTATCCTTGCCGTTGGCATAGATTACACATTTTTCTAAGCTGCATAAACGAGAACAAAGGCGGTTGAGGCCTAACTGACAGTGTAGTCTACTCGTCATTCCATGTAAACAACATACATGTGGTCCCACACCTAACGAAACCGCAAGTAATTTTCCAAGAATGTGGCGTTTATGTAATAGATTTCTTTAGTAGCTCAGGCAGCTTGCCAAATTATATGGATAGAACCCAGGATCGACTTTCTATTAACATCGGCATTAGATTATGATTTCGTCGTTTTATCACTCAGCAATCACGAGGTTGTTAAATAACAAACGTTTAATTCCGTACAATAACACATGCAACGCAACCGTAGCTGACGTTTCGGCAGAATCGCCTTCATCAGAGTCTGGAAGGGTACGCTAATACGCAACTTACTAGCTACGATTGTGTTGTGTGTGTTATTGTATGAAAATGCATGGATAATGTTACATAAAATGCATCGGCCCCTTGAAGAAGGCGAGATCGTCAAAATGACAGCCAAATGTTGACCCACAGCAATAACAATAGCGGCAACAACAACAACACCGTCAACAAGAATAACAACAACGACAACAACAGCTACTACAACAACAATAACAATAGCAACAACGACAATACCAACTGATTCCAACCTTGTTTCAGCTCAACAAGGGAATTTCAATGTAAAGAACCACTTGGAGTTGTGATGAAAATCCAAGGTGAGTTAAAAATGAATTTGGCAGTTAGAACACACTTCAGCATGTTTGCAAATGTAAAACTAGTTTTTCTTATATGAGCTGAATACTGAATATTCTAGACATGCAAATACATTTGACAATAAACGTTAATAAACTAGTAAAATGCAAGTTTATATTAGGATATGGACAACGGTCAAAAAATACCAGAGGAACTCAGAAACAAGTCGTTTTTTATTTAATGAGAAGCATCTAGGAAGGGTGTCTACATGTCACATTCTACTCTACAGAAGCAGATTCGGATTGTCTACTTACTTTCATAAGCTCCGAATAAGTTTTCCTATCACGACCATTAATATTTCTAACTGCCAATTTTGTGGTTCTCTTGTTCAAAATGTTAAAATTAAAGTCTTTGGAGTGAACGAAGGTCAAATTGAAACTGAACCAAGGCCGTTGCTCAACTTTGGTGAGCGACAAGAACAATTTGAGACGTTACTGTTGTTCGAGTAAGTCACGCGATGGCTAGCGGAAATTCGTAGTAGTTGATGAACGCGGCATGTGCTCGTGAACGATCTATTACGAGTGTGCTGAATAGTTTCTTTATCTTAACTCTTTTATTTACTGCCTTTTTCTTCTTAATGGCAGGGTATGTTGCGAAATATCCGGTTGGTGTAGTGGTGAAGTGCGCTGCTCCCCGGTAAGGACAACAGCGCGTGTTCGTTCCCCACTGCATACACCTGTGGTCCGGAGTTTTGCAAATAAAGAAGAAAAAGGCAGTAAATAAAAGAGTTAAGATTGTGATTATAACTAAGCCTCAGCTTAACTGGGTTCAATGCCGATATTGGCTCCCCAGATCAATCCCGTTGACGGGTGATTGCTGATGGCAAAAAAGGATCGATAGAACTAGCTGAGAGACATGCAAAGCGAAGGACCCGGATGGTGTAGTGGTGAAGTGCGCTGCTCCCCGGTAAGGACAACAGCTCGTGTTCGTTTCCCACTGCATACACCTGTGGTCGGGAGTTTTGCAAATATCTCAGCATTTCATACGAGTTTCTTTATGTTGAAGACGTTTCAGCGATAGCGATGCCTTCGAAAGTGTATTGAATCGAGTTGGATTTTCAATGCATCATTCAGTTTCTGGCAAAATAATAGTAGCCCGTCTAGAGAGTACAAGACTCGATTTCACTAGAATGTTGGTTGAAGCGAAGTATTAACTTACCATTACGTCTACATATTGAACGCTTTTGCAAGAGTGAGGAAAATGTTGATAATAAGGAGGGTAACGGCGACATTATTACCATCTATGGCTTTAATTAAATTTTAGTACTTGATCACAATTTCGCCTTCTTTCGTAAGGCCTAATTCCTTTCTTATCTTTACCTTTTCGTATACAAACCTATTCAAATGGAAACGCATGCGTGGAAACATTTAGTTACTCTATTTCATATAAAACAATATTCTACTGCTGATTATACAAGATCACTTTAATGATAATCAATATAGCTCGAGCAGAGACCGTTTTGTCAAAGATTCTTTTCCTTGAAGTAAACTTTAAAGGAACATTACGCGTGTGATTTTCTGCGACCGGTCCCATGGTTTCTCACTGTATAGTTGCATCTTGAAAGTATTTCCGACTGCCTACTTTCCATAACATTCATCATCAACCTGCATTTTCTTCCCTATCTGATTTTTCCAATCTCAAAAATATTTTATGTGCATTCTAACCGAATTTTTAAAAGTAGCAAGTTTCAGTATATATCGTTGTAGAAGAGCAGATTTTTTCAACATAAAGGTTTCATTGTTTGTTACCCACGTTTATAGCATTCAATAAATGAAGCCAATGGTTCAAGAAGGGATTTCGACAGCCTCTCGTCAACAATACACACTGCTTCACCAGCAAGTCGAAATTAAAATCTTACGCATTGGAAAAACGTTTCAAGAGTTCAGAAGAGTTTCATGGACGAAGTCAGAGTGAATGGAAATCGGTAAAATATTTTTCAAACCGACCGTCATTTAGCCTTGGTGGCAAAGTAATGAACATGTGCTTAAATTGTTGAGCATACATGTGGTTGATAAACAGATTTATTTCGGATAACGTCTTGACGTCTTCATCTTCATCAGAGCAGATGATCCGTGTCGGTGGTCCACAGTTGTTCGTTATCTCGATGTGATGTCTTCGTAGTCGTACCAACACCGATCTTCCTCAGTGAGCATCGCACGAATGAGCTATGCCCACCTAATAGCGCTCTTTTATACAGCACGGTTGTCGTTGATATGATATGAAGATCAGTAAGTTGCTTGTTCATTTGTATCACTTAAACAAGTCACGTTCACATAAGCACTTGCACACACTCTTCAGATAGAGTGGTCCACAGAATTGGTGAGATATACGTCAGAATTCCTGATGTCGTCAACACTGCACATCGACGAATAAGCATAAATAGAACGTGGGCAGAATGAATCGAATTCGCAACGTCATCTATTCTACTTTCAAAGCTATGGCGTAACGTTCCATTCGGTTAATACTTCCGCTTTAAGCTCTTTTGTTTAGGTAAGCTGTACGTGTTGTACTTAAGTTTATCACTAATTCTGATGCGTCACTGACTGGAACGATTTATGCCATATTTTTAGAAAACCACATTAACTCTGCACTGTATCTGCTACAAAAAAGTTTCTACCCGTCGAAGGCACTGAAAAGGATAAATGTACTTTTAATAAAACACATTTAAACGACAACGTGCTGTATTTAGTACAAAACTGCGTCTTCGTATAAGTGGCCTCGATAGGTGCAGATGTGTTTTTGTAAAACTGGGGTAGCGGGTGCTGCAACAGCATGGAAAGGTTCTCATACGATTCCTCACTGTTTCGATGACTTTCCCCACCTTACGTTCAAAGAAACAAAACTCTAGACCAACCATAGCAGTCATTTCTGTACGAAACGATGGGAAGTGCTCGTTATTATTGAACGGGATCATATAAAACAATGAGCGATATTTTTTGTTGTGCTTTCGATGAGCTGAAACGATGTTACTGATGTGACTTTTATTCCAAAACGGCTAACATTTCCGTGGATTTCGTCTTAACCAAAGATGTGCTTCAAGTGTCGCCCACTTGACACACACAGTAAGGCGAATCAATCATATAGATTCCACACAGGACTGTACATCCATAATTACTTAGCTATGAGAGGAACAAGGAAAGTTGGGAGAGGCTTTACGTGTTTTTATCAGCCTCGTGTCAGCATGTCTATGGAAAAATACATATATATATATAAGTGGAATTTGAGAAAATCAGGTATCGCGAGTTTTTTTTGAAGCAGTGGCGCTGTTTTGTTGACTGTGTTGCAGCTAACATTCCCCTGAAGGCTCTGAAGAAGGCGAAATCCGTCGAAACGTTAGCTGTTTTGAACAAATAGTATATAATTACAAACTCATGTGCGCTTTTCAAAAAACTGTGAATCATAGGTGGGAGAGTCATACAGTTAGAAAAGCCAGCTAAATGAAGACGAAACGGAAAGAACAGTAGGGTGAATCCCGAGAGAATCAAAAGAAACTCTAGGGAGACCACTAAGATGATGAGACGATGGGTTTGTTGCTATAAGCAATCGTAAGCAAGTGAGTTGAGTTAGTTGGCAAGTTAGATGTCTCTCTATGTAATCCATGTTTACCTGAGGTTACTGTATGCCTAATTTTTTTCGACATATTAATTGACAGGAACTGTGAAGCTCGTTGGTGCCAAGAGCCTATTATGAAAAACAAATAGAATGTTCAAATATAACAGTGGAAGGAAAGGAAGCATTGACGTCAAGGCGACCATTGAGGCTGAACAAGCGTTACAAATGCTATCGAATAATACTTGAACTAAACCATGAATCAGTGTCGCTCGTCGGAGCCATGAAATGCTCAACATTAGAGCAAGGATTTAGAGCAGGGAAGTTTATATATACATATATATAAACTGTATCTGCTTTTCTCAAATCCTTTTAATATATATATATATATATATATATATATATATATAAAGACTTGAGAAAAGCAGATACAGTTGCTTTTTGTTGAGGTAACTGCGGTGTTTTGCTGTAGATAAGTTGACTAGAAGGATCTGAGAGAGGCGAGATCCGCCGAAATGTTAGCTGTTGTGAGTAAATAATATGCAACGGTAACCTCATCTGTACTTATCAAGAAAATAGCAAGTTATGCATTTGAAAGTCACACCGTGAGAAAAGCCGGCGGCAGGTGGACGAAGCGAAAAGAACAGTAGTGTGAACCTCGAAAGAATCAGCACAAATTCTAGGGAGACCACGAAAAAATGGTCCTATGGGTTCGTTGCTCGCGTATAACTGGCTGTATTCACAATTGTAATTGGTTTTCACATTACCAAGTTCCATCCGAAGTCGCACATGAAGGCATCAACTTCCATGGACTCCGGTTGCAAAACAACGAAACAAATGAAAGCGGTGCTAGAACCCATACGTGGCATGAAATCGAGCCATCGAAGAATATAAACGGTCATAAGCGAGTAAGTTGGTAAGCAAGTTAATTTTCTGTCTATGTAATCTATGCTCACCTGAGGCTATTTTAACCAATTTCAACATAATGATTACTAGGATTTGCAGTGAGAATAAAAAAAGTCTCATGAGGGCAAAGAGCAAGAGGATGAGAAATAGAATGGTCAGATATTACAGTGGAAGAAGAGAAAGAGTTTACATCAAGGCGATCGTTGAAACTGATTAAGCGTTTCAATGGTAGTGAATAATAGTTGAACCAAACTTGTGTAGCTTCTCGAAGTTATGAATAACTCAACATTAGAGCGAAGATTGAAAGAAGAAAGGAGCAAACTTGGTCCTTGTACGAAGTATTGACAAAAGGATAGTAATATCGAAGTTAATTATTTCGCTAAGCAGAAAGACAGAAGAAAGGGAAACAGAAAGCAGCTGTTTGTGCAAAATGTACAAGCCAAGGAACTGTCACATCCTTTATAGATAGGTGATTTATAACATAGTTTACACAGAGAGGTGAAAAGCTCAATTCACTAAAATTAAATAATCCGATGGTAGTGTTGATTCTAATAAAAGCTTAGGAGGCTGAATCAGCTCTACATATGGTTGTTTCCTCAAAGTCTAAACGATCGAGAAATAGCAAGGATGTCGAAGAATGCATTTTTCCAATCCTTTCCTTTTTTATCACTTTTTTACTTTTTGTGTTTTATCTTTTAGGTAGTTTTTTATGTACTGCCTATGAGAAGTGCTATCTCGTACTACGGTGTATGCACTTATCCATAATTTAGTGGTACATTGGAGTGGGCAATCATTCACCTGTACAAATAGCTTTCATAAAACGGTTTCGAATGCTGTATAAAACTTCAAATGGAGTGATAACCACTGAGGTTTTCAGTTTTCCACTTTTCCTCATGGCTGCTTCAATGTGCTGTGACTGCGACATCCGTAAGAAGATATGGTGGCTTATCACCCTAACAATCACTGCCATGTGCTGCTGTGTCAACGCAAGAATAAGTTGCCGAAATATGGATGGACAAGATGTCGACTGGTATGTTAATCGCTAAGTTGTACAAAACAGTTTTTTAGGTAAAGAAGTATTGAATAGTGGCTCTCTCACATGATTAGAAAGTGAATTTTATTTATGGGAACAACTATTAATACTCGAAGCGATAGAAGTCGCAGTTGTTTCCGCTTTAGCTTGATGATTTTTATGTTCGTCGCCATCAAATTGCCGTCATTTGTTGACAAGTGGCGTGGTCGTGGCTTCGCGTACTTCGATTCCTCTCAGACCGACTGGGTGCTGAGTCCAGTACCCATCAACAGCACCTCATCCGCAATAGGAGCAACTCTCAGAGAGCTCTATTTGAAGAATGAAGTAATGCACTTCAACTGCGGATGAAGGAAGTTGTTTTCCAAGCTTTGCAAATTTGAAATTTTAGAAAGTATTAAAAATCGCTCACAACGATGATTGGCCTGATACACACAAAGCGAATGGCGGTCGTGGTCACAGCAAGGGTGTAGCTGTAGCGAATCTCGAAGGCGGATTTTGGCTAATACATAGCGTGCCGAACTTTCCTCCAATCGGTATTTCTTACTCATACTTTTTATTTCAACTTTTAAAAATCTATTCACTTAATCGTCATCACGTCATTCCATCCTCCGCTATAATTTCAACAATATCTTCCATTCTTAGTTTTATCGGTTACAAGTTCATGATCACATATGAGTTCCAGCGTAGAAAAAAAGTTTTAACAGCAAAATATGGCTATCCGGAAAGCGGCACGAAATTTGCACAGTCGCTTCTCTGCATTTCATTTGACGTCGATGCACTTCCGGCAATCAGCCAATATATGCGATACGCCCAAGTGACTCCATTTATCGCCAAATTGCCACAGTCGATGAAACTATTGCAAGAATTTCAATTCTTTGAAATTATCTTACTGCGGCTTACTCCTCCAGATAATATTTTTATTTTAGAGCACCGTACTTTGAGGACGTTATTCGCAAGAAATCCCTAACTCGATCGGATACTATATTCACCTACTCTCATACTATTCAAACTCGTAAGAGAATGAATGTAACAGTCTTTTCGAAGCACAAGAAATTCAACAAAGGTTCCTGTTTTTCTACTCCGCTGCCTTTCCTTTCTCGGAACGGGAGCACAAATGTTATTTCGTAGATCTTTGGCACGACCTTATTGCACCCAGTCTCAGAACACCACTTGGTGTCGAAACGTGGAGAAATGGAGCTGCACAGGATGTTGGAACACAATGTGGTGACGGCGCAAATGTTGGCTTCTCCAGAGTTTCAGAATTTTTAAACATCTTATCGTCGCATGCAGTCAAATGAATTACTGTTTTAGGTGTATGACGTTACTGAGGTTCAGCTACCTTCAGCAAAATTTAGCAGCAGTAGCGATCATTCTAAATGGGGTGTATCAATGAGAGAGTCGTCGCCGGTCGTATGCATTGGTGACGTTAACAGACAGGTAAAGATTGTCTTTTTGCCTTCCGTTTTCCTTAACAAAGCCACTAAGATTATGCGACTCATTACCATCACTATTACCCTTAACAATCTGTACCTACAATGCGCGTACACTTGCATCCGAGTCTTCGATGGAAGACTTGCTCATATAAGCAAAAAGGACAAGGTACGACGTTCTCTTCCTGGCCGAGACGAGATGATGTCACTTTCAACGCCGTCTATGACATCAAGGAAGAACTGTTCCTCGGAATATGCGACAGTAGAGGAGTCGTCCGCGCCGGCTTTCTCTTCAACACGAGTTTGTCCATGAACATTGATTCATTCGAACAACTTACGACCCAAATCGGACGATTACGATTAAAAAGATGTGGATCAATTCCGGCTTTGACAATCTTCGTCGTTTACGCGCCGACATCAAACTATGACGAAGAAGAAGTCAAAGCGTTCTGTATGGATTTGGGGAAGTTTTACAGAGAAGACTACACATTCTTCTAGATCATCATTGGAGATTTCAACACCAAGATTAAACCAAGAAAAACGTCTGAAGAACGTCACATCGGGACCCATAGAATGGAGCGAACAGGGTAAGCGGCTATCTGAGTTCATCATGGCGACCAAGACTACCCATGGTAACTCGCAATTCCAGAAGCCCCACCCCCAGCGCTGGACGTGGGAGTCTCCCAATGGAGAGTACTATAACGAAATAGACCACATCGTAGTAAATAGAAGGTTTTGCCTAACCGATGTTCCTGTTGTCCCAAAATTCTTCACGGGATCAGACTACCGTCTCCTTTGCGCAAGATTCTATTTCTCGCGGAAAGGAGAAAAAGCCGCTAAATTCCAAAACCGAAGTCCCAGAAGTAAACTGGGATTTAATCAATTCATTAGTCGGCTGCTGGGAAGATGCAGTTGTCGATAACATCGAGGAAGAATACGATCGGCTCATTCAACATCTTCACGCTATGAAAGCTGAGAGTTCGAAAGTCACCAAGAGAAGTCTGTCTCCAGAAACACTCGAGCTGATAAGCCAGCGTGGAATCGCACGAGCCGCAAGCAACAGCGAACTAACGTCCGAACTTGTAAAAAAACGCAGAGAGGCGATAAAAGAAGATCTTAGAGAGAGAAGAGCAGCAGTAATCGCCGAAGCTGCAGAGGCTGGAAAAAGCATTCGCAAAAGCCCACCGAAGCTTCGCCAATTATAAGACCAAAATGATTGCTCTCCGGCACCCAGACGGAGCAGTTACAGCGTCCAGAAAGACATTAGAGAAAACCATTCACGAATACTACTTGGATCTCTTCGATAGCCACGTCCACCTTCTGTCATATGAAATAAAGAAGGATGGATGTGTTGTACCATCGGTTCTCCCTTCCGAAATCCGACATGCCATTTCGTCGGTGAAAAAACGAACAGTACTAGGTCTGGACAAAACAAGACCAGAACATCTGAAGAACCTTCCGTCAGTTTTCGTAAACACACTGGCTCAACTCCTCACACATCACCTGTCTGAATGCAAGGTCCCTACTCAATGAAAGACCAGCAAGGTCGTGTTATTGTTTAAAGGTGACCTACACGATATCGGTAACTATCGCCCAATCTGCTTACTGCCTGTCGTCCACAAGTTTTCACTCGAGTCATCCTAAACGCGGCTGACAGAACACTAGACGAAGGACAGCTATGTGAGCAAGCAGGGTTTCGAAAAGGACTTAGTACGATGGATCGCAACCACACGGTAACACGGCTTATTGAGGTATCGTGAGAGTAGAAAAGACCGCTCTGTCTCACTTTCATCGTTTTACAGAAGGCCTTTGATTCAGTTGAGATAGAAGCAGTCTTGGAAACCCTTGATAGTCAAGTACTCCCTACTCAGTACATAAAGATTCTTCGTAAGCTGAATAAAATTTTCATAAGCAAGATATCACCATTCTACAACGATATTAACATTGACGTCAAAAAAGGAGTTAGGCAAGGCGATATCACCTCGCGAAAATAGTTTACCACCACTCTCGAGAGCGTCATGCAGACACTGGAGTAGGACAACATGGGAGTGAAAATCGATGGTCGACAGTTACACCATCTTCGCTTAGCTGATGACATCGTCCTTATAACACTATACATTAGCCAAGCGGAACGTATGTTTGCCGACTTTGATAAAGCCTGTGGAATGTTTGGTCTTCGACTAAATCTTACAAAAACAACGTTCATGAAGAACGGATTGGTTTCGCATGCCCCATTCACACTCAGTGAAACGAATATCTTTGAATGCTCCAGTTATATTTATCTAGGTCGGGAAATCAATATGGTGACCGACCTAGATCCAGAGCTGAGCAGAAGAAAAGGAACGGCTTGTGGAGCTTTCAAGAGCACCGAGGATGTAGTGAAGAGAACAAAGAACACCTCACTCCGTGCTTACCTTTTCGACTCAACGGTACTTTCTGCCCTAACGTATGCGTCAGAAACCTGGTCGCAGCGTAAGTGGGATGAAAGGTCACTCAGCGTTATCGAACACGCAGTCGAAAGGACGATGCTAGGAGTATTCCGGTTCACACAAGTAAGGGATGCAATCCGAAGTTCCGATCTGCGTCAACGATCAAAAATCAACGATGCAGTTGTGTACGCCAAACAGCCGAAGATAAGGTGGGCCGGGCACGTAATTCGTATCACTAACAATCGATGGACAAGAGCCGTTAGTGACTGGATTCCTCGGAATGTCAAACGCACTGCAGGAAGACCAGCGACCCAGTGGTCAGAGTTCGTTACAAAAAACCTTGAAGAAAGACATGATGCTCGACGAACCCTAGGGCGAGCAGAACCCACTGGGCTACTCTTGCACGCGACAGGGAAAACGGAAGATTTACTGGCGCCCGCTCGAGTCACTCGACGATCAATGGGACTACAGGTGATACAGGTGATTACCTTTACTGCTATTGCACCCGTTTCTATTTCCAGACCTCGCAGTTCAATCGTGGGGGTGGTGCTGCATGCATTCAAAACGGATCCCTCTGGACAGTATTTCACAATTTGGTGGCTGCTTTCAATGACTGCAATGCTAATCGTTAGTGAACTAGTATAAGTGAAGACAAAATATCAATAAAAATGTTGTTTCGTTTTAGGAAATAAACCGATTTGAAGAAGAACATGACAAATCACTTCAAATGAAGGCATTTCGCATAAATTCGCTATAGTTTCCATTTTTGGAAAGTAAAGGTATTGTCAAGCATAAAAAACCTTTTCAAAAGAAAGGCACAAGAGTCAAGTACTTTCTAAATTCAACAAATAAAACCTTGTGATTGACGCGGACCAACAGTAATGCCTCTCGCTGAACCGATTTTTACGAAACGTTCGTCTCATCAGAAATCACCTTTAATTTCATAGACTTCGTCCGCCCGAGCATGTACCAAAAAATATGCCAGATGAAATGGTATAAGGCGGAGGGGCGTTTTTGTGGGCTGCCATATGACTTTCTTTAACCTCTAAATTCTGCCGCTAACTGAGATAGTTAACTTAGCGACTGCTAACGGACTACTCTAATAGATATCACAAGTTCGAAGAATTTCTTTTGTAATCACACGCACCACATTATCATCATAATAATCTCGATTTAAAATGCGTTACCATATTAAAAATGAAAAAAAATTATTTGGAAAGTCACCCTAGTTGGTTTTTCACCTCGTGTAAACTCTATTCTGGTTGATATATTTATTTATGTGATTTTATAAACTAATCTTCTTAACCTGGCGCGAGGTTGGTACAGGCCTTCGTTGTCGTTGTCGCTGTTTTTGATGTTGCTGGTCGATGGCTGACGTTTCGGCGACTTCGCCTTCCTCAGAGCCGTGATGTTACGTGCGGGACAAAGACAAGGAAGATCTGTACCAACCTCGCGTCAGCTTAAGAAGATCAGTTTATAAGACCACATAAATAAATATATCAACGATCTATGCTGAGGTTTATAGAAAGTCGATCTTTCGATCTATTCTGGTTTTTGTGCGATGGACAATTTTAAACGATGTTGTTATGAAACTGCACACCTTTCGGTGCAATTGGCTTCTTCGCATCCGTGATCTGAGAAATCTAAAATCTGGATCGAATCTTCACAGTCGTTAATGCCTGTGATGCGGATTTCTCACTAGCATCGACTAGAATCCAATGGAGTGGAACATTCGACCCAAGCATAGCGGCTTTGAACAAAGTGGAGTTGCTTCAAACGACTGTAATAGCTAGCACGTTTTTGTTAGCAACTTGAAGTAAGCTTATTTAACATAGGAAATATTGGTTATTCATGCCACGCTTAAATCAAAATTGGCTTTAAAAAGCTATTTAGGTAGTCTTACTTCATCAGAAGTGAAAAGCAAAAAAGATGGTTCCGGAAGTAGAAGCCAATTTTAGTGATTCCAAAATGTACGAGGTGTCAACCAATAGAAAGGTTAAACACAGCTATTACCAATTTAGTAGTCTCTAAGCGAAATACAACCACAACGTTGCTGAGATATTTGCAAAACTCTGGACCGCAGGTGTCTATGGTGGGGAACGAACGCGCTATTGTCCTTTCCGGAGAGTAACGCGTTCACCACCACACCATGCGGGTCCCTCGTTTCGCTTGTCTCTCATCTATTTCTATCGATCTTTGCCGCAGCAATCACCCGTCAGCGGGATCCCGCGGGTGGTGAACGCGTTACTCCCCGGAAAGGACAATAGCGCGTTCGTTCCCCACCATAGACACCAGCGGTCCAGAGTTTTGCAAATATCTCAGCAGCGTTGTGGTTATATTTCGCTTACTACCCTGCCGCGAAATTATAATAGGCAGAAAATAAAGAGGTATAACATTAGTAGTCTCTCCTTAACCGCTTTTCGGGAGACAGCATTTCCTAGCCCCTTAGTGATGAAGCATTACAAAAATCCCAGTTTTAGTGTTTCAGAACACCATTTTTTCAGTGTTTTTGTGTTACAAAACGTCATAACTGGGTAAACAAACTTTTGCAAGTATTATTACGTGCGGAAAATGTTACATGGAAAAACATAGGTAAGTATGTGGTAGATTAACATTCATTCTGATCATAATATTGGTATAGAGGCGACTGTGGTGCGTGTGGCGCTGTGGTTGGAGGCGCCACTGAGACACACACGTGGAATCGATCCTCGTGCTTATGGCCCACCAAGCCTTCTATCCCTCCGGGGTCGGCAGACTGGTACCAGACTTGTCTGGGAGGATACCGGCATTGGCTCGATAGATTGGTAGGCCACCGTGGGTTATTATAAAGACCAGATGTGCATTCAGTCACCTCCAACGATACCTAATGAAGTCGAATGCATGG